TGTGTGTCATTTAATGTGCGTGTTTCTGCTGTGTGTTTTAAGCTAGACTATAAATACATTTTGGCCCTTTGTATTTGGACACACTGGATTTCATTTGCAACTTTACTCTTTTTGGAAATGTCTTTAGTTTTAGATTTCTCTTTAGATTCTCTCTAGCTTAGGATTTTCCGGCGAACTATTTCCGACAACTTTCGTTTTTATACAAGTTTACATCTTTTTATTCCGATCTCGACCAAGCATGCGTTAGGAACGTAAGCACTTAATTTTAAGGCTTACGATATCGATTTGTGCACCTATTTTGCTATCTAGTTAGTAGAAGTGATTAGGGATTGCTCGTTTATTGGATCATGTTTGCTCGTTTGGTTATTTTCCGTGTTTTCGTTGTTTTGAGCTTGTCTATTGTGCTTGAGTTGGTTGAAGTATGAATTTCTACTTGAAACATCGTGACTTTGATATTGAGCTCGGTTATTTCATCGTAGAATTTTCGGCTTTAGCTATTAACTGTAGTAGATGGAGCTCGTTTCTCTTGTTTTCGCTCTTTTTACTTGATTTTTAGTTCTTTGGTTTAGTAAGCTAGGGTTTCTAGTATAATTGCTCGTTGCTCGTTTTCTTAGTTAATCTATTTTAAAATCAATCTCCAATCATTGAATAGGATGTTTGGGATTTATTTTTTCTTATTTTATGATTTTGGACAATTGAATAGCAACCAAAGCTCCGAATAGCCTTCTTTAGAGAACGACCCGAGTCGGGTAACTCGGTTACCACATACCCACAAATCTCTACTAAACAATCCCATATCATAGTTGATTCATACAACTTTGTTAATTGCAACGATTTAGTAGCAGTAATATATTCTTGTCATTCTCTTAAGAAAAAAAGACATGTGGTATAATAACAAAAATTTAACAATAATGAACAATATAGATTATTTATATTCGTAAAAAAATATGGTGTATAATTGTGGATCAATAAAGAAATGAAAATGTGTGAAGTCACTTTAGTCATAAACTTTTAGATGTCCTCATATTTAGGCCTAAATGAAACAAACGATATCAACTAAAAATAAAATAAATTAAACAAATTGTGTATTTTGCGCTCAAAAATTCAATCAATTTGGACGAAAACCAATATAAGAGACCTCATATATGACAAAAATTCTACTAAATAATTGGATAATAAATATGTATTTTCTTCTTCTGTCTTCATGGTTAAAACCATATTGTCACTCTTTCTCTCTTATGGCTGAGACTCTCTGACTCTTTTTGACTTTTGTCATCATTTCCTATTCCTTTTATATTTCACAATATCATTCAGCAATATTAGTCTATTTATTACCCGTAAATTAAACCGAATTCCGATCCATATTCAAATACTAAATCATGTAATTTTTATTTTGTATACAAATTATGATAGTAAATTTACATCTAAAAGTTCAAAAATAAAAATATAAATGTTTGTATGTATCAAATTATTATTTTATTATATACTATCAAGATTTTTATTTCTTTATATTCTTAGGTCATATTAAGGTAACAATAAAGATTATTACCGTCAATGCTTATATCAATAGCCAACACTTATTTTGCATTAAATTTATGAGAATCATAATTTAACTTATTAAATATATGTTGATAGAATTCTTGCAAAATAATAGGAATAAAATATTTAAATTGTAATATATAACTCTAAAACAATAAAAAATAAAATTAACACTTGTGATATATGATTAAAAAGAAAATAGTTGTGGCCTTTGAAGTATATGTAAAATTTTGTTTTTTGATAATATTTTGATAAACACAATATATTCTCATCACTCTTATGAAAACAATATTGATATACGAATAAAAAATTTAACAATAAATTAACTTGGTATACCTTTTTTCAGGAATTACAGTTGTACAATTATAGGCGACCAAAGAAATTAGAAGGATGGCAAAATTTATGTAAATGTGTTTAGATAGCCTTTTTAATATTTTAACAAATAAATAAATTATACCAACTAAAAATAAATAAACTTATAAAAACTTTATATTATTGGGTCACCTCCAATCACACAAAAACCAGTACGAATATTATCTTCAATCTTTACAATTACAAACATGAGTTGCACCTCTTTGAAATCATGTATTGCATCTATATTCTATTTTTTCAACATTTTTGAATATCATTTACGAAATATCTAGTAATTTTTACCCATAAATACAATCAAATTTTAATGTCATATTCGAATACTAAGTTGTCTTATTTTTTTTTCTTTAGTTTCATTTTTTCTCATATTCTTGGTTGATATTGATAAAAGGAACCTAAATTCAGATTTTTTTTTGTCCAAGTAAATGTTATTCACGATTTTCGAGATATATTTTATATGGAAATGCAAGTTCATCTCATTACCCATCGATGATACTTTTTTTTATTTAAAAAAAATTATCCCTTTTAGTTGAATAAATTACATTATTTATGAAAAATATGATTTTATTTTATTTCTGTCTGTCTCTCTCTCTCTCTCTCTTTCTATTTTTTATTATTAAAATAAATTTTAGCTGAAAAGAAAATAAAAATATATAAAATTTGATAAGTTTGCAATTTGTTATTAACCAGATTGATGAATTTTATTGTGTCAAAATTTAGATATTTCAGAAATATCACCAATAATAAGCATAGTTATTTTTATCAAGTGGTCATTGGTTTTTTTTTTTAAATTTTTTTTAAAATATATTATTTTTAATCCATATTAGATTATAATAATATCATAATGTATTTATACATAAACTAATATATATTGATAAATGTGTTATTTTTTGAATTAAGCCTTTGTACAAATAACTATTTTTATTGTTTGAACTATGTATCCACATAGGATTTAACAAATTTATTTTAATCCATGAATATCGGAGTGCAAGTGCCAATACATAATTATGTTAATGATTTATTTAAGCAAATGACTATATTCATTATTTTAATGATATATCATAGTTAGAAATTGATAGAATTTATTTCTAGATAGTATATATAGTTTTGGAGGGTTTTTTTTATCTCCTACATGTTACTTAACTTATATATGTGTGTGTATGTGCGTGTGAGCACGTGTGCGCGCCTAATATTATGACATATGCAGTGCACATTTTGCGGCACTATTAAAAAAATAAATTGTCTTGTATGTAAATAGTTATTTTACTCACAAAGGAAAAAAAACTAAAAAAAAAATTATTGAAAAATTAGAATACATATTCACACGAAGTAATTATTTGGATAAGTATTTATAATAAATAATTAAATTTTGTTGTTTGAATTATTTACATATAATTAATAAAATAATTTCAAAATTTATTTTTTATGGGAACTGGAGTGCAAGTTCCCAATACATAATTATATATAAATTATTTTTTATTTTTAGGAGATAATTATAATTAGTATTTTAATGATAGATCATACATAAAAGTTGATAGAATTTATTTCATGGTATAATTAATAGAGCTTTGGAGGGAAAAGATTTTTCTCCAAGCTTCTTCACATACACACATAGACAGATCAATGAACTTATCACGGGAGTCGAGGTGGTTATGTCGATATGAAAGGATGTCAGATGGATTTGAAAAGATGTCAGAAATTTGAATTTGAATTTTGAAAAACAAGACCTTGCCGCACCTAGAGAGAATGAAAAAATCGCTCGATTGGGAGAACATTTCACGATTGAGAGTATAGTTAAAGGTATCTAGTTTTACTCTTTGATCAAGTTATATCTACTCAACTAGAGTGTGAGAGACTAAATGATATGAGATACTCAAAGGCCTCGTTTACTAGGGTTGATAAGATATGATAAGGTATGTTTACTAGGTTGGTTAAGAGAAAGGACCATTCTGATGTGGCATGTGGGTCTCCCTTCATTAATCTGATATGGAGGGATTGTTTTGTCTGTCCATTTTGGGCGGATATTTTTATCCCCAAGTTTGAGTTCCAATTTTGGGCGGATATTTATAAAATTTTAATTTAAATAATTTTATTTAATTTAAAATGATATTATTTAATATTTAAAGTATTAATTTAATTAATTTTATTTAATTTAA